AATGCATTATTTCTCTTAACTCTCACAACTTAATTTATTATTCCCATTTTCATCATCATTATAAGATCAAACAAGATCATTCAAGATCAAACAAAAAGATAGTGGTATAGTCAGAAGGATTCACAACACAAACCCAGGTATGTCTAAGACACACACACACACCAATCTCTTTGAAGATGATTAAGAGCAACCTGATTAAGAGGGCTCTGGTACCCTCATGATGAAATCCATACTTACAGTATATGAAAGCACTTAGATAAATCCTGCTATTAATAGTTTTGTAATAGAAATAGAAGGATTTCTAGAAGGATTCCAAGAGTATCCCAGACTCTGCTCTTGTACCCAAATTAAATTCAGAAAGCACCAAATGTCACCCTAAAGAATCCAAAGCTCTATGTAACATTTCATTTTTCCACCTAGATCCCAAGTTAATGATAACTACAGCTTTCAGAAAGCATAGTCTATATACTAGAATAAAACAAACAGAATCATCAGAAAATTTAAAGTTATTAGAATATAACCAACATCATAAATTCACCTCAGGAAAGTACTAGCATATTATAGTAAGTGGCATCATGGAACTATCCACTTATCAAGGTTTACAGCAATATCAGAGTGCAGTTTCCAAGTAAATATTTTTCTTTCTATGTGAAGGAAAATGGATTTCAAAATTTTGATTCAATGCAACAAATATTTAGTGCACATTTACTCCATACCAGGTTCTGTGGCCATGAAAATAAATAAGGCAAGATCTTTGTCCTTCGCCCCTCAATAAGACCACTGGGGCTTGGGGGTACGGGGAGCTGAACAGACAGGAAGGGGATACATGACACCTATACTAGCACCTCTAATACAATATGGAAATCACTGTAGCAAAAACAATAGTATGAACAAGTGCTATGTAAACAGAGAGGGAAATAATTATTCCGCCTGGACCTGTCTCCTGAACCCAATTCATATATCTGACTGCTTCCTTGACATATATCTACCCGGATGTCCAACCTGTCTAAAATGGAGTTGCTGAACAAGCCACCATATCTGATTTTATTTTACCCATCTAAGGGAACAGCTACACTGTTTTTCCAATCGCTCAGGTCGAAAGCTTGAGTTATCCTTCATCCTTTCTCTCACACTTCACATTCAAGCCTTCAGCAAATCCCGTCACTCTATATGACATCTTTAAAATACATCTGAAATTCGACCAATTCTCAACATTACTATTACCCCTCTAGCATAAGCCAAGGCTATTATCACTTCCCTGGTAAGTCACTCTGCTTCTTCCCTTCACCCAGTCTGTCTTATTAAAATGGGTCAGTTCATAGCATTTCTCAACATCCAACAATGNAAGAATTTAGAAGTAACTGTTCTCCATGACTTGTGTACTCGCCAGATACTGTGTAATATACATAAATCTCCCCAATCTCTTTATTTCTGGGTAATTATGAAGCTCAATTGTAACCACACCCTTCCGCTTTCAAGTTTTTTCAGATGGCGTTAACTGGAAACTTTCATCTATACACTCATCTAGTTTCTCTTTTTCTTTGCCTTTAGGACTTCTCAAAATTCTTATAAGAAGAAAGTTCTAATATTCTTCTCCCCTTTTAAAATCAGTACTCATAAATTAGCATTTATATTTAACTGTCAAAGTAAGAGGAACTAGATTCGCAAGTATTAAGTCATGACGTATTTTTCTATATTTTTCAATGCAAAAATGCGTCATGACTTTCCCGACAACCCAATGGAGTATTTTAGTGAGAGTGTTTCTCTGATACAATTTACTCCCCGTGAGCTTTTCTGACAATTCTTGCCCCATCCGGCCTACTCTGGCCAATACTGTTCTCCCATTACAAGAGCTGGAAATCATTTTTTCAGATAAAATGTCATGGGGCTCCTATTAGTAGTAAAGATGACAGTAAACATATATATGAATTCTACATAATGGCTAACGACGAGAAGAGAGAAAAAGTATAAGATGGGAATATGGAGAAATGAGTAGAAAACTAAGGGAAAGAAACTGCAGACATGAAAAATACAAAGCAAAAAGAAAAAATTAGAGAAGTTATAAATTTCACATTTTTTAATAGTAACCAATTGCCACATTACCTAAGTCTCGCATACCAACTAGTTACACAACTTTTGATAAATCAAGTAAGTTCCTTATCTGCAAAACTTGTGTTTAAGAGTTGGATAGGGCCTGAAGTTCCTTCCAAATTCAGGCATACGAGAACTTTGTCATTGTTAGAACCAATATATTTACTGGAACTACATGTGTCTGGATGATGCCAGCTTATGTTCATCTTAGAAAACTCTCTCTCGCTTCTTTCCCCTTAAGCCTCTGTGACTACTCTGAAAGAGAAATCACAATCTCATTTGACAAAATTCTTCTAAGAACTCCTAAAGCAGCAATCACAGAAACAGTTCTAATCCTACGAAGGACCCCATCGCTGATCTTAAGTTATTCTGAACATTGCAGGTAAAATTAAAGTCTAATTGCTTTTTCAACCAATCCTTCTAGCCACTGTTAACTAACCTGAAAAGCTTACAAACACTCTACCCATCAAGATCTTTATGCTATTTTTCTTCTATCAAACACAAATGTCCTAATACTGTCAGTAATTTCCCTCAAAAAGCAATCTCTCAAGCATTATATAATTTTTGTAAAATAATTTTGTAAATACATAGGCACAGGTGGAGAAAATACAACAGTGACATACATCGAAAAGTTACAACTGAAGCTGTTAGGGAAATGCAAATCCAAACCACAATGAGATATATCACCTCACACATGTTAAAATGGCTATCATCAACATCAACAAGACAAGTAATAACAAGTGTTGGAGAGGCTGTGGAGAAAAAGGAACCCTTATACACTGATGGATGGAATATAAATTGGTACAGCCACTATGGAAAACAGTATGGCAGTTCCTCAAAAAACTAAGAATAGAATTACCATACCCAGAAATACCTCTTCTGGGTATCTACACAAAAAATCTGAAAACATTTATCCGTAAAGATATATATGCTCTGATGTTCACTGCAGCTTTATTCATGGCGGCCAAGACATGGAAGCAACTGAAGTGTCCTTTGACAGATGACTGGGTAAAGAAGATGTGGTACATATACACAATGGAATAGTACGCAGCCATAAGAAAAGGTGAAATTCTACCAATTGCGACAACATGGATGGATCTTGAGAATGTGCTAAATAAAATAAGTCTGCCAGAAAAAGCTGAGAACCATATGATTTCACTCATATATGGGATATAAACTGAAAGCAATAAATGAACAAGACAAAGAAAGAAAAACTCATAGATACAGACAACAGTTCAGTGGTTACCAGAGGGTAAAGGAGGTCAAATATATGGTGATGGAAGGAGAACTGACTCTGGGTGGTGAGCACACAATGTGATATACAGATGATGATGTATTATAAAATTGTACACTTGAAACCTATGTAATTTTACTAACCAATGTCACCCAATACATTTAATAAAAAAAGGAAATATTTAAATTGTAAAACAGTGATTTTTCTTGGATTAGGGTGATATTTGATTTGTGGGTTTCTTCTGTGTACTTTTCTGTTTTCTCAATGTTTTACATTGAGCACTATAACTACCAGAACTAAAGTCACAAAACAACTAGATATATGGAACTGTTTTCTAAACGTTGGGAGAACTTTGCAACATATTGCTTTATCAATATGAGCCATTTTCACATCCGTTGTTATCCCTGAAATGTCTATTCTTCACAGCTCACTAGGCACATCCACGTTCCTACAAGCAGTGCTTTGTCCACTGACATTAGTTTGTTTTTAACAAGGACAAAGAGAGCCAAATGCACCCAAAGGATTTACAACCAGGCTTGCAGAGGATATCACTTCTAAAATTTAAAATATTAAGTATTCTGAATGGAAAATATTAGAAATTATGATGACCTTACTCTGGGAAAATTAATCTTCTGAATAATGGTAGTCAATAGCATAGCATCAGAGATACTCAGTAGAATCATAAATGCTTAGAATAGAAAAAAAAGTCAGGGGGTGGGCAACTTTTCTGGCCACATGGCTGACAGTTCCTTTGTCATCTTAATGTTACTAAGTTCCTTACATTTAAACAAACTGCTCATAAAAGTCCTACTTCCAATAAAGTTTATTCCTAGTAATGGCAGCCTGACAAGTCACACCATTTCACACAGAGTAGTGAAGCACACATTTTAAAAAATTGTTTTGGGAACTTTTTAAATTGGTTCACTCTGTCTCTAGCAAATTCCTTTTGTCTTCACTAGTCTAAAAGTCACACAATTCTCTTTGATATCTTATTCTTCTGTGGAGACCATTAGAAAATCTGAGGAAAATTATTTAGATATAGCATCATCAAATCTGGAAGTAACTGTTTAAAAAGATCTTACTAAGAATAAAGAATTGACTTTTACTGAGTACCCACTCTGTGCAAGACAGCACAAAGGTTTACTCATTTACTACTTCAAATAAACCTATGCAATGGTCATTACTACTTACTACAAAGATTAGACAATCAAGATTCAGAGAAGTTAAATAACACGCCCAAGAAATCCAAAGAAAAGGTATAAAGCCCAATTCCAAAGCCCAAAGCCTTTTCAACTCTTCATAGGCTGCATGTGAAAACAGACCTACACATATAACAGACTAACACACATATAATAGACCAGTTTTTAAATTACAATCTAAGATAAAACACTATAACAACACATGGCAAAATTTACCTAATAACACATGAAAAAAAAAGCAAGACTTTGGGAAATAAAACTCACCATACTAGAACAATTCTACTACAACATTAAATATAATATAGTAAAAGAGGAATAGAACTGAAGTTGTTGAAATATATTATTTATAATTTAAAGAAAAAAAATGTAATCCCTCTCTTAAATAAAGACACTGGCTACTGTGGCTAAGTTTACTTTTTATGTTTAGTTTCTTTTCTGGAACACTGGTTTGCCACTACTCTCGATTACTTACTTACTAGAAGCATTCCTGCTTGTTGGAAGTGGTTCCATATAAGCAATGGCCAGTTGGTGAAGATAGTTGCTCTACCAAAAAACAAAAACAAAAACAAAAACAAAACACCTCTTCTTTTGGAGAAATCATGGTTTCACATAAGACACAAAAGCTAGAAACTTACAAATTCCAGCCCTCTCTCATCTTCCTACACTACAACTATGCAGCTCTACTATTACCTTCTTACATTTTCATTTTATAATATTAAATCATCTAACCACTCCAAACAAAAAAATATTATACAGACTTAAAAAAAACTGGTGCACCTTGCAGCGAAACATGACAAATTAAAAATGACCCTCATTTAATCTATTCTAAATACATGTCATTGCCTTCTGCCTGGGTCATCAATAAACAGTCCAGATCAGATCTGGAGCAGGTTAGATTTAGTAGCTATTTTCAAGAAAACAACATGCTTAAGAATCATCTTCTTTTATACCTTCAAAAAGAAAAGTGGTAATACAAATGTTTCTTAAGGTTTCGGTAAACAATAAATTCTGTTTCAAACGCATAAGAGACACACTAAAGAAACTTTATTTAATTAAACAAATTTAATTTTTAGAATCCAACAGTCATAAGCTTGAAATTCTTTGAGGCAATCAATAAAATTTTAGAAACATTAAAGCAGGGTAAAGATTTTTTTCAAACTACGTTGCTTTCAGTACCTTGTCTTAAAGTAAAAGAACTCCCTTTCAGGATCTAAAAACAAATGAAAAGTTGACACCTCAGTGTCCCAAATAATTTTACCATGTTCCCTATATTTCTAATTCTTGAAAGGTCTTGCTAATAACTTCTGTTTTGATATACTTATTTGTAGAGATTCTACATGATTCAGGGAAAAAAATGTAGGCTCTCTATGGAAACAATGACATTCTCATCTACAAAAATATGACAACACCCATTACATTGTTTTGAAAGTCTCAAAAACAAAATAAAAAACGAGGCACTTAAACATGCTTGTGAACTACGTATCTACATTTTAAAAATTACTTCTGTGTTGTAAACAGGAAGTCAGGCAGTTGCTAATATTTCTATTTTTGACAAAAATCTAAGCAAGAAAACCATAAGGTTCTGATAAAAGTCAAACTATAAAAAAGAAATGAAAATATCACTTAGGAGAAAGCACACTGAGCCCTAGTTGCTAACAATTTTCAAACTATTTAAAGTCTTCAGGTCCAATACTGCCTCGTTTTTATCCTATGATTATGATTATTATAAGTAAACATTTCATACAGTCCTAGCTAGGCACAAGCTGTTCTTGTCTGCAATAGTGAAT